TCACAACAGCAGTTAGAGACTCCAGCAACAATTCAAGGGGGAACTGGAAATAAAAGCTATGTTTCCTTACATGTGCAACAGAGATTCTATTAAAGTATGTTTATATTAAATTACAGATTATTTCTTTTTATTGCTTCCTGAATATTGATAGTATGTTGTATAATCACCTACAGTTTATTTCTGGTTGGTTTATGTAGGTAATTCAGTATGTTTGTTATGTATCTTCATGGTGCTTGTCGACTTATTGTGAACCCATGTATTTCATTGGGTTTCATGGGGAAGGAATTACTCAGATGTGGCTTGCCAGTTCCTTCCCCTGAAATATAGCCTACAGCACCTGGTATTTGTTAATGCTCTCCCATCCAAATACTGACCATGTCTTGCCCTGCTGAGCTTCTACGATCAGACAGGACCTGGTGCCTTTAGGATATTTAGGCAGACTGTATTATGTACTACATAACATTTTCAAATATATAACCTGAATGCTGATAGGTCTTTTTTGGATAAAGTTGTCTAAATAATCCAACTAGACTTTATTTGTGTCATCCGAATTCACTTGGCCAGTTCAAATGTAATGGTACGTCAGAGTTTCCCATTAAAAGGAACAGGTCTTAAACATTCTACCTTTCTGCCTTTTGACAGAAGATAGAAAGCTTAAGGAACCTCAATAGTGTGAGAAAATATGCTTTACCCTCAGCAGTAGTTTGCATGGAAACAGGGGAGGGTGATATTTACTCTGTAGTTATTCATAGCATTGCATAATAATGTAACATTTTTGAAGTTTAAAATGTTTTCTTATTAAACAATTATATTGTGTAGACAAGATTTGTTGAAAGGTATTAGAAATTGTTCTCTTAGAGAATCAATAAAACAGATAATCATCCTACACACGTATTTTATAGAGAGAGATCTTGTAGTACCTTTGAAACTGGGAAAAAAATGTTGGAACATTAGCTTTTTTATAGACTTAGATCAGGTGTATTTGAGCTGTATCTTGTGTATAGTGTATATTTTAAACAAACACTACTATAATATTACTAGGAATTATTTAAAAGGCTGCTATTATATTATTACCAATATTTGTGTTATACAGCAAGCATTCTAATTCTGTTTGTCTCCAGGTGACAAAATGATGTTTAGGGATCTATATTTGTAGGCCTTATAGAGATTAATATGCCTACAGTGTTTATCTCACTCAGAATATGTACAGTTTTCTTTGAAAATCTGAAGCTTTGTTTAAATTATCAAAAATCCTGGAATGAGTGTCCTATTTTTTAAAAATTTATTTATTTTTATTTTTTATTTGCTAGTTCTAGAATGAGTGTGAAAGATAAAGCTAAGCTGCAGTTGAAGAAATTTGACATTGGGGACAGGTTTTCCCATTTTCCAGGGGGAAAGGCCTCTGTTCTTCTCCCACTGGTGGTTAAGGATGGAAAACTACATCTTCTTTTCACTGTCAGATCAATGAAGGTATGAAAATCTGAATGTCAAAACCAATTCCATTTGTTACTTGGAAGTTTATTTGAGAAAAAATGTTCTAACTGCTACTCTGCTTCTAGGGCCCAAAACACACTGCAGAAATAATACAGTTTAAGACTGCTTTGACTGCCCTGGATCAGTGCTAGAGAATCCTGGGGATTGTAGTTTATTGTGGCATCAGAGCTCCCTGACAGAGAAGGCTAAATGTCTCACAAAACTACAGTATCCAAAATTCCCTAGCATTGAGCCAAGGCAGTTAAAGCAGTCTCAAACTGGATTATTTCTGTAGCGTGTTTTGGACCTGAGACTGCTCCATGCATGATCATTGAGGTTGCATGGTAGAAATGAAACTATGATACAGATAATCAAACCGTTTCTACTGGTATGTATAATACAAATAACAAGGGTTAATTGATATTATTTCCTGTTTTCCAGGAGGAAGGGCTATAGTTTAATCTTTTCTGCCAGTAGCCAGATGTAGCTGACAAAAGTTTGCTTCTTCCTATTAGTGAGAAAGAATTGCCATGCCATAGTCCATCTGTTCAAGGCAGCAGCACTGCCTTGATTACCTTCAGAGTTGCAATGAAAATATTCAGTGCAGGAACTTTTGACAGTTGGAACAGCTGAGCACTGGGGAAGGAATTGTTTGTGAAAATGTTGTGACGAAAGGATTTAAAAGTAGGCTCAAATGTGTGAAGGATGGAGGTGCCTAGATTGAATGACCACTGTATTCTCTGTCCTGATTTATTTTTTATTGTTTCAAGGACTGTAAACCCTATGCCCAAGAGTTATGGAAAGCTATTTGTGTGCATTCATAATTTTCTCCTTTGTGTTTTATGGCTGTCAGTGTATATTGTAACATTTGAAGAAGTGTAGTAAACAAAGGGCCTTTGCAGACTGCCAGAAATAGTGCAAATTGAGTCCACTTTAAGGGTTAGGGTTAGGGTTAGGGAATCATGGGAACTGTATTTTATTGTGGCACCAGAGCTCTCTGACAGAGAAGGCTCAATGTCTCAGGGGAAAAAAAACAATTCCCATGATTCCCTAGCACTAGCCCTAACCCTTAAAGTGGACTCAATTTGCACTATTTCTGGCAGTCTGTAAAGGCCCAAAATGTGCTTATTTAATTTACTTGTGCTGGGTGGTTGATTGGGGACAAGCACTGACACTCTACATTATATTGAGTATAGGTTTTGCTACACAGAGGTCAAAGTCGGAGCAGAAAATGTAAAAAATATAATCCTTAACATGTTTCTTTGGAAAAGTGCTTCTGAAATGAATGAATTCTCCACTTCTCCACTTGGATCTTAGTAATTGAGGTTAATACTTAACAAACGTGTTTTTCTAATTCCTAGCTGAGAAGATCACCAGGGGATGTGTGTTTTCCAGGAGGAAGAAGTGAACCAACAGACAAAGATGAAATATCCACAGCTCTCCGAGAAGCCCAGGAAGAAGTAGGGCTGCATCCTGAACAGGCCGAAGTCATCTGTAGACTTGTGCCATTAATAGACAAAGTAAAGTTCGGTTTATCCAAACATTATTAAAAATAAGTATTGTAGTGAGGCAACTTGGATAGTTTTAAAAGGAGATTAGGCAAATTCATGACTAATTAGGCTGTGATCAACTATTAATAATGATAGCTTGGATTTCATATTAATAATGATAGCTTGGTTTTCATACTAATAATGATAGCTTGAAACATTGAGTATGCCACCAGCTTTCATTTGGCTGTGTCAGTATTCAAGGGAAACAGTACATGACATTGTATTTTCTGTTTTCTATTGCTTGAAAGAGGATATAAACATTGAAGTTGTTTTTTTAACTTGAAAAAATGCTGTAAAATGCCTGTTGTAGAGGTAAAAGTATGTGATTAAAATTATTGCAAAAACAATTTATATCTATTAAAATGCTCACCTTAGTATAATCAGTAATATGTTGGATTAGAGAGATGTGCCTTTAAGATAGCATGGTTTAGTCTGCGTTATTACTATATATTAGCTGAAATCCTCAAACTGCTACATTGCATTGGACCCCTTTCAAAGCAAGTTATTTGACAGGGATGTGAGGAAAAGCTTTCCTGAGCAAATCACAGAGTTTATAATTTTCAGAGCTGGCATGATTGCCTCTAACAGTTGATCAGTTTTTTCATGATCTCTTATCTACTTAGACCTATGAGAGGAGCTCTGTACTTTAACTGACTAGAGCTCTTGCCCTCTGAGCTTTGTTCCAACTGTTTACGCTTGTTGTGACTGCTAGATGCTTTAAGGAACCTAACACCTCTTTTCTTTTCAGACCGATTCATTGGTAACTCCAGTTGTAGCCTTTATAGAAGATACGTTTCAAGCCCATCCTAATCCCGAAGAAGTGAGTGATACATTTTTTGTACCGCTGGAGTATTTCATTCGTCCTTCGAAGTATAATGTCATAACTATAGAAATAAATGGACTTCCATATTTGGTGCATTCCTTTGAATATGATGATCCAGAGCATAAGACTTCTTTCAAAATAGTGGGACTCACAGCAAACTTTGCAGTGTTCCTTGCTCTTGCAATTTTTGGAGAAAAACCAACATTTGAAGTTCAGTATGATCTTGATAACTTGAATTCTTCAGCTATGAACTTTTTCCTGGGACAGTATGACAGGGTGAAAAGCAAACTTTGACTTGTGGAATTATTTATTTTTTCCACTGAAACTTAAATACATTCCCTTAAATTATATTTGTAAATTGTTACAATTACAGTTTCATGGATCCATTTTTAAAATATTCATATCTTATGTGAAATAAAATATATTGATCAGTTTGTGGCATAGTTTCAATTGATCTGTTTTGCATCATGTTTTTCTCGGTGGACCAGTGTGCTGTAGTGGTTTGAGTGTTGGACTACGACTCTAGAGACCAGCGTTCAAATCTCTGCTTAGCCATGAAAAACCCACTGGATGGTCTTGAGCAAGTCACACTCTCTTAGCCTCAGGGAAGGCAACAGCAAACCCCCTCTGAACAAATCTTGCTAAGAAAACACTATGATAGGTTCATCTTAGGGCCACCATAAATTGGAAACGACTTGAAGACACACAACAACAACTATCATATGTGAAATAAAATATACTAATCAGTTTGTGGTACACTCCAGTGATCTATTCTGTATCATGTTTCTATCCAAATGACCAACAATTCATTTTAGTTTCTCAGCTGCTGTCCTGTTCTGACTAGGCATGCATTTGGTCAGGTTTTTCTCACACTGTATAGATGCACAATAAACATTTTCTATTATGTAAGTTAAGTGCCCACATGTCTGTATTGATTTTTTACTCTGGACTCTGTGGAAGTGGCAACTAGTAGAAAGTAATCCCCTTCTTCCATGTATTTCAAAGGTGAAGGTAGTGATTTTAGACAACAGAAGCCTTTCATGACTTCCAAGACCTTTCCAGTGTCCTCCAGAAAGGTCAGTCTTATTCTTTCCTCCTGCTCTGAAAGGACACTTTTTCTTGGTGCTCATTGCTCCAGACATTCAAAGGCCTGTATGTCCTGCCTGTGGGATAAGTGGGAGAAGCAATTCCATCTAAAGTAAGATTGTCACTTCTCCCCTGGAAATGAATGTATTTTAGGTAAGACCAACATTGCTTTCTACTCAAGTGTTGCCAGATGCTTTTGGACTGAGTGGTTTGTCCTCAGCAGATTATAACATACATAAAGAAGTCTGTCAAGTCTTCACAAGAGCAAATATTTAGTTACAGGTCTTCAAATAAACTGTTCTATATATCATTGTGATTTCAATCATTCTTCAAAGATCATACAGTTGCATCACATACAATTTACAAACACATTGTAGTTCTTGAATAGAAGGAACATTTAGTTGCACGTGTACAATATATTTGCAGTTGAAACAATGTACTCTTTAATCTATTAACAAGCTAGTACCTGCAAAACAATGTTTTTCTGTTACTGCACAAACTAAAATGACAGGTTTTGTGGCACCTTACATGTTAATAGTTTGTCAGCTTTCATGGGCTATAGTCAAGTTCATCAGATATATTCAACATCATGCATATGATGAAATGGACTCTAACTCACAGAAGCTGATGCTAGAATACATCTGTCAGTGGTTACAGTGCTATAAGATGCTTTATTTTTTAAAATTATTTTCAGGGACAGAATGACAGAAGTATCTATATGGAAGTTATAAGAGGAATAAGATATTCAAAAAGAAGCTATACTGAACTGCTAATTAGAGAAACTATTAGGAATGTTGTGGTAGTTTGTTCATTCCTTCAGACAGGCTGACTGCAACAATACTATATTGGCCATGATCTATGCACTTGAACTGCTTGATAGGTACATGGCTTGGTCCTAGATTCCCATTTGCTGGTTAAACTGTTGTGTACAAAAATATAGAGATCACACAGCAGAGGTTTATTTTGTACAGTAGTTCTATAATTCAGAAGACTAAGCAGAGACCTAAGATTCTACTAGTTGCAATTTGGCTTGTCTCTTCCTTGAACTATTATGTTTAAGCTTGACATTGTAAGAATAATTAGTTATAAAATTTGTACCAGATTTTGCTTCTGCTTCTTTCTCCCTTTCTTTCTTTCTTTCTTTCTTTCTTTCTTTCTTTCTTTCTTTCTTTCATGATGTCTTACATAATACAAGCCAGAAGGCAGAGATGGCCCCCTTTTTTAATCTTTGTATAGAACAGATAATTTTAGGTACTTTCAAGTGATTAGTTGTAATAAATCTAGTGAGATTCATTGCAAAACTGGCTTCTACTTGGAATTGTATTCTGATTAACAGCTGGGGGAATACACAGCAACTTTATGAGATAGTATTTGGCTGAACAGGAATAATGTTGAACTGCATTCATATTACTAAATGAATGTGCTTTGAGACAAATTTTCATTTTTTTTCTTCAAAGCAAGGCAAATGAGAAAAGAAGAAGAGGACATGCTGTTTAGAGAGGTGTGATGAGACAGAGAGGTAAGACCAGTTTCAGGAGGACAGCTGGGAACAGAGAGATAAGACGGAGTGGTTATGAATGGGGGAAAAAGATATTATGAAATCAGTATTGTTGAGTTGTTATAATAATAACTAAGTATTTATCTGTGGGAGGGTGATAGGAAGACAAATATTGAGTTGGAAGAGATCCCACCCAGTCCAACCCTCTGCCATACAAGAATACCCAATTGTAGGACTCCTGACAGATGGCCATCCAGCCTCTGTTTAAAGATCTCTGTTTAAAGAAGATTCCACTACTCTTCGATGGAGCGTATTCCACTGTCGAACAGCTCCTACTATCAGGAAGTTTCTCCTAACATTGAGGTGGAATCTCTTTTCCTTTTGTTTGAATCCATTGCTCTGTGTCCTATTCTCTGAAGCAGTAGAAAACAAGTTTGCTCCGTCCTCAATATGACATCCTTTCAAATATTTAAACATCTTAATTTTTATTTGTTAATATCCTCAAGTGTTAAAGATTTGTTAGTAATGTAAGCACAATGAAATTGGATGATTATGGCTCTTTTACATGGAGGCTGACACACTGTGTAAAATGGGACGCTCTGTAAATACAGAAACTTAGAACAAAAAGACTGTTTTTGTCTTGGCTAAAAAAATTCAGCATTTCTATCATGTCACCTCTTAACCTGCTCTTTCTCAGGCTAAGCATACCCAGCTTCTTGAGCCACTTCTCATAGGACATGGTTTCCAGACATTTTACCATTTTGGTTGCCCTCCTCTGGACACGCTCCAGCTTCTCAACATCCTTTTTGAATTTTGGTGTCCTGAACTGGACACAGTATTCCAGGTGCATCTGACCCAAGCAGAATAGTGTGGTATTACCACTTCTCTTGACTGAGGTTGTTGTTGTTAACTGCCCTCGAGTCAATCTCGACTCATGGCGACCGTATGGATGAGACATCTCCAAGACCCCCTGTCCTCCGCTGCTCTGCTTAATTCCTGCAACCCCTTAATAACCATAGTGACCTCCGTAATAGAGTCCATCCATCTGACATGTGGCCTTCCTCTCTTCCTACTTCCCTCCACCTTTTTCAGCATTATTGTCTTTTCTAATGACTCTTCTCATGATGTGTCCAAAGTATGACAGTCTCAGTTTGGTCATCTTGGCTTCTTTCCAGTTTGATCTGCTCTAGGACCCACTAGTTTGTCTTTTTGATTGTCCATGGGATTCTCAGCACTCTTCCCCAGCCCCACATTCTCTCAAATGATTTGGTTTTCCTCCATTCTTGACTGTCCAGCTCTCACATCCATCCATGGTAACAGGTAATACAATGGCTTGTATGATTC